GCACAATTTTCGCACAACGTTCACTTTTCAAAGCGTATGAAAATGTGCGCCTGAAAAATAACTCGGCATCAAGGGGGTTAAAGCACTCGGACGCTAGCGTCCTCGTGCTTTAACTATAACAGTTCACGGCGAAAGTGTGCTTTATTACACTATACATGGTGGTAGAGCGAATTTTATCATCCAAAACTGTGTTCCACAGAAGATATCGCTTGTGTGAGATCAGACGTTATTACCCACGTGGTCAACGTATGGGTAGTTGCATACTAATCTCGTACGTCACACGAGTGTCGTATCGCGTTGACCTGTGTCGTAACGACTTGACCTGAGATTCTAACGATTTGATTGGATAACCGATGACCTCTCAATTAGGTCACATTCTGACGTAACTATTTTTTCATTCTTAACAAACACGTGAATTCATTCATTCTACAACTTAAATGCATTGTGGGAATGTAAACATTGCGAACGTTACCGTGTCGCTGTTTAATTGTGAGTCGAACTGAGACATTATATCCGTCGAAAAACATAAACGCAATGTTTCCACCAGTGATGTTAGCTGCATGAAGCAACAGCAAACCAAGAAACGGGGTGCTACGGAGTAGTTGACTGTAGGAGGCTGTACGAGGCGATGACAACTGACATGCATCGCGACGTCGGTTGCCAAGGCAGTGACGTCATTAGTGTGACGTCATGCAAATATTGTACTACAGTACAAAACTCTTCCGCAACCTCTTTATGAAACCGGTTTCGGTTTGAAACCAAAAAATAACAAAAATACGCTATTTTGTCAATTTAATGCATGTAAGAAGTGGGTTATAAATAAAATACCACACTCGGTCTCATTACATACAAATTATACGAAACTCGTGACCTTCCTATGTTATCTGACCTCGCTTTCGCTCGGTCAGATACCATAGGAAGGACACTCGTTTCGTTTAATTCGTATGTAATGAGTCCTCGTGTAGTATTCTCTATATATCTCCTAGGAGATATCGTTTTGACAGTAGATTTTGTACAATGCCCCGACAATGCTATGACGTCATGAACTTGTTGACGTCACAACGTTATGACATCGCTGCACTGCAAATCTAATGGCAGTACTGTGTTCAGAGATGTACATTTTTCATTGAAAACTAATGAAAAGTGATTTTTGATGATAAATAGAATCTCACTCTTGTGTCTTCTGATATCAAATATATCAACACTCGTTGATAAAAGTAAAAATATCCTCGGCAAGCCTCGGATATTTGTTACTTTATCAACTCGTGGTGATATATTTGATATCAAAAGACACTTGGGTGAGATTCTCTATGTATTTCTTAATTACATACTAAGTTGAATTAGAATAATGTATATGGGCCTGTGACCTTCATGCGTAATAAAGATTTTGAAGATGATGAACAGGCTTGGTCAATCTATATTCAAACCCCAGTACAAACACGTGGGTTACCCCGGGGTAAAGATAAGTCAGCTGACAAGTCAGCGTTTAATAAACATCGTCAGTATACATGAGTCTCAACAGTCCCCCGTGTTCTGGGGGGTTCCGTGAAAAGCAGCTTCGCGGAAAGCCTAAGTTTTCCTGCTACATGTGAATCTGTGCTACGTGAGGGTACTGATCAGGATACACTGGGGTCAGGGTAGTTTTAGGCTGCCATATTGCAAGTTGTAGATGGACAGTGTTATCTAAATAACAAATACTGAACTAGACTACTACAGCGAGATTAGAAAATAGCAGCAGTTTAGAGAGATATCTACTGGCGGTGCACATGCATTAGCTAAATAGCATCTCCATTGTAAGTTCAAAATGCAGAGTATTAAGTAATTCAGTTTAGCTTCCATGGCGAAACACTCAGACACAGATTCCATTTGGTGTCAAGATGACAACTGAAACTTACACGAATGGTTCACTGTAAACCAGGCCAGCAAGTGTACACCGAGTATCTGCTTGAGCCGCTCCATGTACACCTTCCTACACTTTGTTAGATACAATGTGATGTTGCTGGAATATTGCTAAAAGCGGCGTAAAACCAAACTCAGTCAGTCAGTCAGTCTTAGATATAATGTGATGTTGCTGGAATATTGCTAAAAGCGGCGTAAAACCAAAATCAGTCAGTCATTCAGTCTTAGATATAATGTGATGTTGCTGGAATATTGCTAAAAGCGGCGTAAAACCAAACTCAGTCAGTCAGTCAGTCTTAGATATAATGTGATGTTGCTGGAATATTGCTAAAAGCGGCGTAAAACCAAACTCAGTCAGTCAGTCAGTCTTAGATATAATGTGATGTTGCTGGAATATTGCTAAAAGCGGCGTAAAACCAAACTCAGTCAGTCAGTCAGTCTTAGATATAATGTGATGTTGCTGGAATATTGCTAAAAGCGTAAAACCAAACTCAGTCAGTCAGTCAGTCTTAGATATAATGTGATGTTGCTGGAATATTGCTAAAAGCGGCGTAAAACCAAACTCAGTCAGTCAGTCAGTCTTAGATATAATGTGATGTTGCTGGAATATTGCTAAAAGCGGCGTAAAACCAAACTCAGTCAGTCAGTCAGTCAGTCTTAGATATAATGTGATGTTGCTGGAATATTGCTAAAAGCGGCGTAAAACCAAACTCAGTCAGTCAGTCAGTCTTAGATATAATGTGATGTTGCTGGAATATTGCTAAAAGCGGCGTAAAACCAAACTCAGTCAGTCAGTCAGTCTTAGATACAATGTGATGTTGCTGGAATATTGCTAAAAGCGCTACGTGAAAACCAAACTCAGTCAGTCAGTCAGTCTTAGATATAATGTGATGTTGCTGGAATATTGCTAAAAGCGGCGTAAAACCAAACTCAGTCAGTCAGTCAGTCTTAGATATAATGTGATGTTGCTGGAATATTGCTAAAAGCGGCGTAAAACCAAACTCAGTCAGTCAGTCAGTCTTAGATATAATGTGATGTTGCTGGAATATTGCTAAAAGCGGCGTAAAACCAAACTCAGTCAGTCAGTCAGTCTTAGATATAATGTGATGTTGCTGGAATATTGCTAAAAGCGGCGTAAAACCAAACTCAGTCAGTCAGTCAGTCTTAGATATAATGTGATGTTGCTGGAATATTGCTAAAAGCGGCGTAAAACCAAACTCAGTCAGTCAGTCAGTCTTAGATTAAATGTGATGTTGCTGGAATATTGCTAAAAGCGTAAAACCAAACTCAGTCAGTCAGTCAGTCTTAGATATAATGTGATGTTGCTGGAATATTGCTAAAAGCGGCGTAAAACCAAACTCAGTCAGTCAGTCAGTCTTAGATATAATGTGATGTTGCTGGAATATTGCTAAAAGCGTAAAACCAAACTCAGTCAGTCAGTCAGTCTTAGATATAATGTGATGTTGCTGGAATATTGCTAAAAGCGGCGTAAAACCAAACTCAGTCAGTCAGTCAGTCTTAGATTAAATGTGATGTTGCTGGAATATTGCTAAAAGCGGCGTAAAACCAAACTCAGTCAGTCAGTCAGTCTTAGATATAATGTGATGTTGCTGGAATATTGCTAAAAGCGGCGTAAAACCAAACTCAGTCAGTCAGTCAGTCTTAGATACAATGTGATGTTGCTGGAATATTGCTAAAAGCGGCGAAAACCAAACTCAGTCAGTCAGTCAGTCTTAGATATAATGTGATGTTGCTGGAATATTGCTAAAAGCGTAAAACCAAACTCAGTCAGTCAGTCAGTCTTAGATACAATGTGATGTTGCTGGAATATTGCTAAAAGCGTAAAACCAAACTCAGTCAGTCAGTCAGTCTTAGATATAATGTGATGTTGCTGGAATATTGCTAAAAGCGGGCGTAAAACCAAACTCAGTCAGTCAGTCAGTCTTAGATATAATGTGATGTTGCTGGAATATTGCTAAAAGCGTAAAACCAAACTCAGTCAGTCAGTCAGTCTTAGATACAATGTGATGTTGCTGGAATATTGCTAAAAGCGTAAAAAACCAAACTCAGTCAGTCAGTCAGTCTTAGATATAATGTGATGTTGCTGGAATATTGCTAAAAGCGGCGTGAAAACCAAACTCAGTCAGTCAGTCAGTCTTAGATATAATGTGATGTTGCTGGAATATTGCTAAAAGCGGGCGTGAAACCAAACTCAGTCAGTCAGTCAGTCTTAGATATAATGTGATGTTGCTGGAATATTGCTAAAAGCGGGCGTAAAACCAAACTCAGTCAGTCAGTCAGTCTTAGATATAATGTGATGTTGCTGGAATATTGCTAAAAGCGGCGAAAACCAAACTCAGTCAGTCAGTCAGTCTTAGATATAATGTGATGTTGCTGGAATATTGCTAAAAGCGGTAAAACCAAACTCAGTCAGTCAGTCAGTCTTAGATATAATGTGATGTTGCTGGAATATTGCTAAAAGCGTAAAACCAAACTCAGTCAGTCAGTCAGTCTTAGATATAATGTGATGTTGCTGGAATATTGCTAAAAGCGGCGTAAAACCAAACTCAGTCAGTCAGTCAGTCTTAGATATAATGCGATGTTGCTGGAATATTGCTAAAAGCGGCGTAAAACCAAAATCAGTCAGTCAGTCAGTCTTAGATATAATGTGATGTTGCTGGAATATTGCTAAAAGCGGCGTAAAACCAAACTCAGTCAGTCAGTCAGTCTTAGATATAATGTGATGTTGCTGGAATATTGCTAAAGGCGGCGTAAAACCAAACTCAGTCAGTCAGTCAGTCTTAGATACAATGTGATGTTGCTGGAATATTGCTAAAAACGGCGTAAAACCAAACTCAGTCAGTCAGTCAGTCTTAGATATAATGTGATGTTGCTGGAATATTGCTAAAAGCGGCGTAAAACCAAACTCAGTCAGTCAGTCAGTCTTAGATATAATGTGATGTTGCTGGAATATTGCTAAAAGCGGCGTAAAACCAAACTCAGTCAGTCAGTCAGTCTTAGATGCAATTTCGCATCTATTTCGTCTTTGCATAAACACTGAGCGTTTGTGATTGTGACCGATGTTTCCATGTGTTGTATAGGTACAGAGAATAATTGCCAACCCTGCCATGATGTTGGTGAGGGAGCTCCGGCCACGTCGTTCTGTCAACACTGTGATGTCCAGCTCTGTGAGAGATGTGTGAAGATGCATGCTTCCCTTCCTGCTACATCAAACCACGTGATTGCTGACCTTGGTGGAGCAGTTAAGGCCACACGGCGACAAAGACCAAGGTGCAAGGAACACAATGAAGACTTGGAATTCTGCTGTCGGGACTGTAATGTGGCAATATGTACCAGGTGTTGCATCCTATACCACAGGAAGTGCGACTCTGTACTCACTCTTCAGTCCATGATGGCGGAGATGCGAAATGTTCTAAACCTCAATATGGAGTTGATCACACAACGCTTTGAGGATGCGAGCAGATCACTTCTACAACACAGATCACAGATTGAAGAGATCAGCCGCAACAGAGACACAGCTGAGTCACAGATCAAGCAGGTCTCACAGAAAGTCATATCTGTGATCAAACAGAAGGAGACACAGCTGCTGGATGAGCTAGTTGAGATGACAGAGAAGCAGTGTGGACAACTGAAGGGGCAGATGAAGTCAGGAGAAATAGACATGCAGATGTATCAACAACACATAGAGTACCTCAGCCAGGTGCTGAAGTCTGGGAGTGAGACTGACATGTTTGAGATGTACCGGATGTGTCAGTCAGGGGCTCTCAATGAATCAACAGACAGGGCTGGTTTGTCAGACAGTGTAGGTGATTCACAAGTTCTGTTTCTTTGTGAACTAGACGAGGGGAAATTACACGATGCCGTACACCTGGGTCGAATACAGCAGAACCTAGGTGAACCTGTCGTGGATGTGCGGCTTGATAGAATACAGAGTAGCACATTTGATGTACATAGCAGACCGGTGGTCCACCAGACCGTCGACATCAGGATTGATGGAGACGTGAAGAAGCCGGATCCAGCTGACGTCACTGTCCTGGTTGTGGACGGTGTAGAGACACTGGTGGTCACGGACCACGCCAATAGCTGTCTGAAATCCTTCTACGCGAACAAGGGCAAATCACAAAGCAGCAAACTCAATCTTCCAAGTGATCCACGCACTGTGACGAGGCTGGGGGATAATCGGGTGCTGGTGTCCTTCTCCACACACAACGAGATAGCAGTAGTACGGGTGACCCCTGACCTTGTACTACTGTCACGTGTCTCAACAAAGAAGAAGTACAGATGCCTGACAGCTTTGAGTTCCTCGAAACTAGCAGCAGGTTGCGGGGATCCTCCCTGTGTTGATATCCTGGACACATCGGGGGCAGTGTTGAAATCACATAGTATACTGAACAGAGGAAAGACCATAAACCCATGGTTCCTCAGTGCTACAACCGACGGCAACATCCTGGTGTCCGATGTTGGGTCCCACTCTGTGTACTGTATCACACCACATGGAGATGTTGTGTTCACCTCTACCGGAGGAGGGAGTCTCAGAGAACCACGAGGTATCGCCACTACCAGCACAGGACACATCCTGGTGGCGGACTCGGGGACACGGATGGTGATACTACTGACAGCAACAGGGAAGTTTGTCAGAAACCTGCTGACGTCACAGTCTGAAATACTTCACCCGTACGGCTTGTTCCTTTGTGGCCATAAGCTGTTTGTGATGGAATACAACAGAGATGCTGTGAAGGTATTCACGGGCAGTACACCTCAGTGAGACGCATCCCTGAGGCACACCCAGGCAACAAACCAAGCCTCGGGAACGGCCTGTTTCTATAAGAATGACACTACATGTGATTGTGTGTGATTGTGTGTGATTGTGTGTGATTGTGATTGTACGTATAACTTCTGACTTGTGCTTGTCAGACTATGGTCCTGTAAATGGTCATGCAAAAGTCATATTCTTGTAGTTTCTTCACCATAATTCACTCATGTGCGTTTTTGTTTGTGAATGTTGACATGTAATTGAATTTATAATTAAATCTTTATTGACCTGTAGTTGATGCAGAAACATTCAAATGTACACATAAGACCTTGGAGAACGGGAAGGTCTTGTGCATTAATGGTAAAGAATGTCCAGTAACATATATGTATTCCAACGAATGTTTTCATGGTGTAGCTCCCACCAGCGTCATGTTGAGCGGAATATAACTTTCTTCTTGGAGGTCTTTCTTTTTGAACATTGATGTGACAAATACATCACTTTGTATTGTACAGGCATGTACGTACGTTCTAGCTTTATGTCTATCATACAGGCATGTACGTACGTTCTAGCTTTATGTCTATCATACAGGCATGTACGTACGTTCTAGCTTTATGTCTATCATACAGGCATGTACGTACGTTCTAGCTTTATGTCTATTATACAGGTATGTACGTTCTAGCTTTATGTTTATAATACAGGCATGTACGTTCTAGCTTTATGTCTATCATACAGGCATGTACGTACGTTCTAGCTTTATGTCTATTATACAGGCATGTACGTTCTAGCTTTATGTTTATTATACAGGCATGTACGTTCTAGCTTTGTGTCTATTATACAGGTATGTACGTCCTAGCTTTGTGTCTATTATACAGGCATGTACGTTCTAGCTTTGTGTCTATTATACAGGTATGTACGTCCTAGCTTTGTGTCTATTATACAGGTATGTACGTTCTAGCTTTATGTTTATTATACAGGCATGTACGTTCTAGCTTTGTGTCTATTATACAGGTATGTACGTTCTAGCTTTGTGTCTATTATACAGGCATGTACGTTCTAGCTTTGTGTCTATTATACAGGTATGTACGTCCTAGCTTTGTGTCTATTATACAGGTATGTACGTCCTAGCTTTGTGTCTATTATACAGGTATGTACGTCCTAGCTTTGTGTCTATTATACAGGCATGTACGTCCTAGCTTTGTGTCTATTATACAGGTATGTACTATTTGTGTCTATTATACAGGTATGTACGTTCTAGCTTAGTGTCTATTATACAGGTATGTACGATCTAGCTTTGTGTCTATTATACAGGTATGTACGTTCTAGCTTTGTGTCTATTATACAGGTATGTACGTCCTAGCTTTGTGTCTATTATACAGGTATGTACGTTCTAGCGTTATGCCTATTATACAGGTATGTACGATCTAGCGTTATGACTATTATACAGGTATGTACGTTCTAGCGTTATGTCTATTATACAGGTATGTACGTTCTAGCGTTATGACTATTATACAGGTATGTACGTTCAAGCTTTATGTCTATCATACAGGCCTGTACATTCAAGCTTTATGTCTATTATACAGGCATGTACGTTCAAGCTTTATGTCTATTATACAGGCATGTACCTTCTAGCTTTATGTCTATTATAAAGGCATGTACGTTCAAGCTTTATGTCATTTGGTAGATGTATTAGCATTTGATTGCATAATTCCAAGTGTATCTTTCAATGATTAAATCAATAAAAGTTGTTTCTATAGTCGGTCATTTTGACACAGATTACACTCAGTAGATGTAAGCATGTTCCAGGTCAATCTGCAGTTAGTCATGATGTTAATAACAGTTGATACTTCATTAAGTAAACCTACACTAGCTGTTGTAATGAGAGTTGATACTTCAGCAAGTAAACCTACACTAGCTGTGGTAATGAGAGTTGAGACTTCAGCAAGTAAACCTACACTAGCTGTGGTAATGAGAGTTGATACTTCAGGAAGTAAACCTACACTAGCTGTGGTAATGAGAGTTGATACTTCAGCAGGTAAGCCTACACTAGCTGTGGTAATGAGAGTTGATACTTCAGCAATTAAGCCTACACTAGCTGTGGTAATGAGAGTTGATACTTCAGCAAGTAAGCCTACACTAGCTGTGGTAATGAGAGTTGATACTTCATCAAGTAAACCTACACTAGCTGTGGTAATGGGAGTTGATACTTCAGCAAGTAAACCTATACTAGCTGTGGTAATGAGAGTTGATACTTCAGCAAGTAAACCTACACTAGCTGTGGTAAAGAGAGTTGATACTTCAACAAGTAAACTTACATTAGCTGTGGTAATGAGAGTTGATACTTCAGCAAGTAAACCTACACTAGCTGTGGTAATGAGAGTTGATACTTCAACAAGTAAACCTACACTAGCTGTGGTAATGAGAGTTGATATTTCAGCAAGTAAGCCTACACCAGCTGTGGTAATGAAAGTTGATACTTCAGCAAGTAAACCCAAACTAGCTGTGGTAATGAGAGTTGAAACTTCAGCAAGTAAACTTACACTAGCCGTTGTAATACGAGTTGATACTTCAGCAAGTAAAGCTACACTAGACGTGGTAATGAGAGTTGATACTTCAGCAAGTAAACCTACACTAGCCGTTGAAATGAGAGTTGATGCTTGAGCAAGTAAGCCTACACTAGCTGTGGTAATGAGAGTTGATACTTCAGCAAGTAAACCTACACTATCTGTGGTAATGGCAGTTGAGACTTCATTAAGTAAGCCTACACTAGCTGTGGTAATGGCAGTTGAGACTTCATTAAGTAAACCTACACTAGCCATAGTAATGAGAGTTGATACTTCAGCAAGTAAACCTACAGTAGTTTTGGTAATGAGAGTTGATACTTCAGCAAGTAAACCTAAACTAGCCGTTGTAATGAGAGTTGATACTTCAGCAAGTAAACCTACACTAGCTGAGGTAATGACAGTTGATACTTCAGGAAGTAAACCTACACTAGCTGTGGTAATGAGAGTTGATACTTCAGCAAGTAAACCTACACTAGACGTGGTAATGAGAGTTGAAACTTCAGCAAGTAAACTTACACTAGCCGTGGTAATGAGAGTTGATACTTCAGCAAGTAAAGCTACACTAGACGTGGTAATGGCAGTTGATACTTCAGCAAGTAAACCTATACTAGCTGTGGTAATGAGAGTTGATACTTCAGCAAGTAAACCTACACTAGCCGTAGAAATGAGAGTTGATACTTGAGCAAGTAAGCCTACACTAGCTGTGGTAATGAGAGTTGATACTTCAGCAAGTAAACCTACACTAGCCATAGTAATGGCAGTTGATACTTCAGCAAAGAAACCTACACAAGCTGTGGTAATGAGAGTTGATACTTCAGCAAGTAAACCTAAACTAGCCGTTGTAATGAGAGTTGATACTTCAGCAAGTAAACCTACACTAGCCGTGGTAATGACAGTTGATACATGTGATATAGCAAGAAGGATGGGTACATGTGATATAGCAGGAAGGATGGGTACATGTGATAAAGCAGGACGGATGGGTGCATGTGATATAGCAGGAAGGATGGCTACATGTGATATAGCAGGACGGACGGGTGCATGTGATGCAGCAGGACGGATGGGTGTATGTGATATATCAGGACGGACGGGTACATGTGATATAGCAGGAAGGATGGGTACATGTGATAAAGCAGGACGGATGGGTACATGTGAAATAGCAGGACGGATGGCTACATGTCATATAGCTGGACGGATGGTTAGATGTCTTATATAGCAGCAAGGATGGGTACATGTGATATAGCAGGACGGATGGGTGCATGTGATATAGCAGGACGGACGGGTACATGTCATATAGAAGGACGGATGGGTACATGTGATATAGCGGGTCGGATAGGTACAAGTGTTATAGAAAGACGGATGGCTACATGTGATATAGCAGGAGAGATAGGTACATGTGATATAGCAGGACGGATGGGTACATGTGGCATAGCAGGACGGATGGGTACATGTCAAATAACAGGACGGATGGTTACATGTGATAAAGCAAGAAGGATGGATACATGTGATATAGCAGAACTGATGGGTACGAGATAGCACGACGGATGGGTACATGTGCTATAGCAGGACGGATGGGTACATCTCACATAGCAGGAAGGATGGGTACATGTGATATAGCAGGACGGATGGGTACATGTGATATAGTAGGACGGAAGGGTGCATGTGATATAGTAGGAAGGATGGCTACATGTGATATAGCGGGACGGACGGGTTCATGTGATGCAGCAGGAAGGATGGGTCCATGTGATATAGCAGGACGGATGGGTACATGTCATATGGTAGAACGGATGGGTACATGTGATATAGCAGGAAGGATGGCCACATTTGACACAGCAGGACGGAACGGTACATTTCATATAGCAGGAAGGATGGGTACATGTGATATAGCAGGACGGATGGGGGCAAGTGATAAAGCAGGAAGGATGGGTGCATGTGATATAGCAGGACGGATGGGTACATGTGATATAGCAGGACGGATGGGTACATGTCATATAGCAGGACGGATGGTTAGATGTCATATAGCAGAAAGGATGGGTACATGTGATATAGCAGGACGGATGGGTGCATGTGATATAGCAGGACGGATGGGTACAAGTGATATAGAAGGACGGATGGGTACATGTGATATAGCGGGACGGATGGGTAGAAGTGTTATAGATAGACGGGTGGCTACATGTGATATAGCTGGACGGATGGGTACATGTGATATAGCAGAAACGATGGGTACATGTGATATTGCAGGAAAAATGGGTACATGTGATAAAGCAGGACGGATGGGTGTATCTGATATAGCAGGACGGATTGGTACATGTGAAATAGCAGGACGGATGGCTACATGTCATATAGCAAGACGGATGGTTAGATGTCATATAGCAGCAAGGATAGGTACATGTGATATAGCAGGAAGGATGGGTGCATGTGATATAGCAGGACGGACGGGTACATGTGATATAGAAGGATGGATGGCTACATGTGATATAGGAGAACGGATGGTTACATGTGATAGAGCAAGAAGGATGGGTACATGTTATATAGCCGGAAGAATGGGTGCATGTGATATAGCAGAAAGGATGGGTACATGTGATATAGCAGGACGGATTGGTACATCTCACATAGCAGGAAGGATGGGTACATGTGATATAGCAGGAGGGATGGGTACATGTGATATAGCAGGACGGATGGGTACATGTCATATAGCAGGACGGATGGTTAGATGTCATATAGCAGAAAGGATGGGTACATGTGATATAGCAGGACGGATGGGTGCATGTGATATAGCAGGACGGATGGGTACAAGTGATATAGAAGGACGGATGGGTACATGTGATATAGCGGGACGGATGGGTAGAAGTGTTATAGATAGACGGGTGGCTACATGTGATATAGCTGGACGGATGGGTACATGTGATATAGCAGAAACGATGGGTACATGTGATATTGCAGGAAAAATGGGTACATGTGATAAAGCAGGACGGATGGGTGTATCTGATATAGCAGGACGGATTGGTACATGTGAAATAGCAGGACGGATGGCTACATGTCATATAGCAAGACGGATGGTTAAGATGTCATATAGCAGCAAGGATAGGTACATGTGATATAGCAGGAAGGATGGGTGCATGTGATATAGCAGGACGGACGGGTACATGTGATATAGAAGGATGGATGGCTACATGTGATATAGGAGAACGGATGGTTACATGTGATAGAGCAAGAAGGATGGGTACATGTTATATAGCCGGAAGAATGGGTGCATGTGATATAGCAGAAAGGATGGGTACATGTGATATAGCAGGACGGATTGGTACATCTCACATAGCAGGAAGGATGGGTACATGTGATATAGCAGGAGGGATGGGTACATGTGATATAGCATGACGGATGGGTGCATATGGTACAGCAGTAAGGATGGATACATGTGATATAGCAGGACGGACGGGTGCATGTGAAGCAGCAGGACGGATGGGTGCATGTGATATAGCAGGACGGACGGGTACATGTGATATAGCAGGACGGATGGGTCCATGTGATATAGCAGTATGGATGGGTACATGTCATATGGTAGAACGGATGGTTACATGTCATGTGGTAGAACGGATGGGTACATGTCATATAGCAGGAAGGAAGGCTACATTTGATACAGCAGGACGGAACGGTACATTTCATATAGCAGGAAGGATGGGTATATGTGGTATAGCAGGACGGATGTGTACATGTGATATAGCGGGACGGATGGCTACATGTCATATAGCAGGGAGGATGGGTACATGTGATGTAGGAGGACGGATGGGTACATGTGATATAGCAGGAAGGATGGGTGCATGTGATATAGCAGGACGGATGGGTACATGTGATACAGCACAACGGATGGGTGTATGTGACATAGCAGGAGGGATGGGTGCATGTGATATAGCAGGACGGATGGGCACATGTGATATAGAAGGACGAATGTGTACAAGTGATATAGCAGGACGGATGGGTACATGTGATAAAGGAGAACGGATGGTTACATTTGATATAGCAAGAAGGATGGATACATGTTATATAGCAGGAAGGATGGGTGCACGTGATATAGCAGAAAGGATGGGTACATGTGATATAGAAGGACGGATGGGTGCATGTGATATAGCGGGACGGATGGGTACAAGTGTTATAGAAAGACGGATGGCTACATGTGATATAGCAGG